TTGTTTTGTTTTGTTTTTGTTTTGACAAGTTCAGCTCTATGTGTAAATAATACTTTTGGTTACAAGAATCAAATGATTGTGTTAGCAAGTGTAGACTAGTTCAGGGGTTCTCGCAACAAATTTTTTGGTGGCCTCAGAGTGCAGCCACCAACTCTTACTGGTGGCCGCACTACTTTTTTCCTAAAATACTCAATTAACTTTAGGAAAAATAATTAAATATGCACAGATTCACATCCACATCATTGTAATGTATATTTGTAGGGTTTTTTGGTAAATTGAATAACAAAAATTATGCTGCCTTCCCCTTCACCGCCACCCCCCTCCCCCATGCAGGGCTTAGTGGGTGCTGAGGCTTGCTGTGAGACATTATATATGTTAATATCACAGCCCACTTAATAGCTACCTGGGAGGCTATGAAAAGTGATATTGACAAACATACAAGTATCACTTTTCACAGATAGCTAGTCAATCTGCTGTGAAAAGTGATACTTGCATAATTGTTAATATCACTTTTCTCAGCAAGCCCCAGAACCCATTAAGCCCTGGATGGAGGTGGGGGGCGAAGGGGGAGGCAGCAGAGGGCCATGGGAAAAAGGGGGGAGATGGATGTGAGACCAGGAAGGCAGCAGGGTCCTGGGGAAAAGGGGGGAGATGGATATAGGGCTGTGGGAGGCAGCGAGGGCCAGGGATAATGGGGGTGGGTGATGAGCACTGCTGTTGCATGGCCAGAGCCAGGGCCTGGTGTCTGTTGCCATGCAGCCAGGGCTCAGTGCCCGTGATCAGACCCCAGAGCTGGGGACAGAAACTGCGTGGCTGGAGCCAGGCACTGGAGCCTGCTGCCATGCAGCTGGAGCTGTGGGTCAGCGCCCAGGGCTAGTGCCTGCCTCCATGCGGCCAGAGCCTGGAGCTGGGTGCCGGAGTCCAGGAGTGTGTGACTGGAGCCAAGAGTCAGCGCTGCTGCTGTGTGGCTGGAGCCAGCGCTTGCTGCTGCGCAGCCAGGCCAGGGGTCAGCACCCAGGACCAGCTCCCGTCATGGCCGGAGCCTGGGAACACAATTGCGGGTCGGTGCCTGCTGCTGTGCAGCTGGGGCAAGGGATCAGCACCAGGGGCTAGGACTGTGTGGCTGGAGCCTGGGGCCAGCGTCTGCCACTGCATGGCCGGAACTGGGGAGCCACAGGCCGAATGAAACTCCATGGCCAGACCCAGGAGTTGGTGCCCAAAGCCCCATGCTTGGAGCTCGCTGCCCTGGGGCTGGGGGTCGGTGCCTGTGGCCAGCACCTGCTACTGGAGCCAGGAGCCAGGACTTGCTGCCATGCAGCTGGAACCAGGGGCTGGAGGCTGAAGCCCCGCAGCTGGAGTCCAGGGCCACATGGCCAGAGCCTGGGGTGGGTGGATCAACAACCACTGCCCCACGGTCGGACCCCGGGGCCGCGTGGTCAGGTTCCTGAAGTCCCATCGCTGGAGCCTGCCACCCACACCCTCTCCTCCCAGTGTGGATCAAGAAGTCACCTTTCTCCTGCAGTGTTGTGCCCCTCTCTCCAGAGGCGGTGCAGGGCAGAGCATCCAGGAGCAACAAGAAGGGAGGGGGAGGAGTCTATGCTTTGCCTCTCCTCATCACCACCCAGGAGGCTCCCGTGGCCACATGAAAAGCCCCTGGTGGCCACATAAAGCCATGGTGGCCACATTTGAGAAATGTTGGACTAATTCATATTTTTAGTTGTATGTTTTGTTTGTTCTCTGCTTTGTACAGAGCCGGCACTAGAAAATGGTATTGCTGAAGTCGCCAGATGGTGGATGGGGCTGGGTGATTGTCCTTGTTTCCTTCTTTACTCAGTTCTTCTGTTATGGGTCTCCGTTAGCAGTTGGAGTCTTGTATCTAGAATGGCTGGATACTTTTGGAGAAGGGAAAGGAAAGACTGCTTGGATTGGATCCCTTGCAAGTGGAGTTGGATTGCTTGCCAGTAAGTCTAGAAGCAATATATGTTTGTAAATGACATGCTTTTTTCATATTTTAATAGCTGTTAAATCTATTTATGCTTTTAAAATGCACTAAATGATTAATTTAAGAATGGGAATCTAGAAAGGACTTTCATACTGTATTTTGTCTTAATCCAACGTGGTTAATGGCATTATATTCATAACTACATTGTTGTGCATTAAACAAGTAAAATGCAAAACAGTACAATGTCAGTTTAACAGAAAGCAACCTGCCACTAATAATGTTGTCTTAAGGATCAATCCAAAATAACGATTACTTTAGCAAACTAAAAATAGCTGAGAGAAACTGCTTCTGTGAATCCTAATTTATACTGTGAACAAAAAATAAGAGCTTGGGAGGGGCATGGCACTTTCATTTGTTGTTTTGCTGAAAGGTGAACAAATAACCATTATCTTGATTTGTTGGATCGCAAGGAGAGATCAATTAAGAAACTAGTTAGTCATTTTTCTAGCTTGAGGTATGAAACCACTAGTTGGAGGAGGTCAAGGATTCAGTTCCACTTTCTTTACTCAAGGAAAAACTCCCACTGAAGTCGGAAAAGGCATATATAAATGACTGCAGTAACTTCAGTAATGGGGAGTCTTTCTTCAATAAGGAGTGCATCATCCCAAGAGGAACAGCTGGATCTTGTGTGATAGAATATTTTCTGGGATGTCTATAGGTGAAATAACAGTGCTGCTGTTTGACGTTAATACTGAACACTGATTAGAGAGCTGTGTAACTGCTAGTTTTCACTATCCAAAGATTCATACATAGAAACTGTTACTTTTGCACAATATATCCAAGGCAAATCTTCATTATTTCCATCAGCAGATTCCACTTCATGCAAACAATCATATCTGTCTGTGACAGCAAAACTCTGAGCAAAGCCTCCTTTGCAAGAAAGAAGGAAGAAATAAGTTCTGTAACCAAGTGTGATTATTTGTAATAAGGGTCTTGCACTTTCAGGGCTAGATTCATAAGTGGGATGTATGCTTTGTAGTGCTTGATGTTATGGCTAACTTGTATTAGGTTAGGTACCCTGCTGCGTAGTAGAACACCTAACACTAAGTTAGGTGCCAAAGCACCCCATACAGTGCCTGGGAAGAGTTGGGCCCTTAAAAAAGGGATGAATAGAAGCCAGCATGCTGAGTGGGGAGCTGCCTAAACTATCCAGAAAGAAAGGCTGAGGAGAAGAGATGTGGCCTAAATCTGGGTCAGAGGGAGGTACTTCTCTCTACTTGGGATTCACAGCCGTGAACCCTCTCCAGAAGTGAGGGACTGGCCTGGCTTATGCTCTTTGTGTAGAGAGGAGGAGGAAGTGGCAGTGGTATCCATCTCTCCCCCACCCCTTTATTCAAGAGCCCCCTGGTCAGTGCATTCACCTAGGATATGGCAGACTAAGTTCAAATCTTCTCTGTCTGATGTGGAGGTGGGAATTGTACCCTGGTCTCTGATCTCCCAGGAGAGTGTCCTGATCACTGCGCTATAGGATATTAAGGGGAGGGGCTCACCCAGCCTCTCCTGGTGTTGAAGCTGTTCCACTTTGTATAATTAAATATTCCTGGGGCCAGAGAGAGATGGTGAGAATGACTCTATAGCTCAGTGACTAGGCACTCGCCGAGGTGGGGGAAGACCTAGATTTGAATCTCTGTTCCACATTAGGCACATAGGGATTTGAATCCCAATATCCCATACCCTGAGTGAGTGCTCTAACCCTCTGGACTATTGGGTAAAAGAGGGCCCCTCTACCTCCTTCCCCCATCTTTCATGTTAAGTGTGCTCAGAGCATGCCTACTGGATCCAGCCCTGCAGGCAAGCTAATCAGGGTAGGAGAGACACCTACGGTAGCTTGTGAATCCTGCTGGGGTTTTGGCATGAGTTAAGTGCTGAGCAACTCAGTGCTGTCAGAATTTAGGTGGCTATGTCCCGGCCCAGTGGCAAAAATTTAGGCTCCTATGGGACTTTACCAGTGGAAACTTCAGGCGCTTCCAGGCTTAGGTGGCAGCTGAGCAGTGGTTTTGTGAATGCCAGTGGTGCCTAAATATTGGCCTTAGGTGTGTTCAGCTTCTCCGGGGGGCTGCTCAGTGTGTTGAAGGATTGAGGCCTAAATGAAACTTCTGTGAGGGGAGTAAATGAGAGAAATGTTCTTTCTACCTTTACCTCAGTGATCAAAGCTACGTGACTCACTATCACCATCAGCCAAACCCTCCTCTGTGAGAAAAGCCCCAACTTCCTTTTACATCTGTCTAATCCTTCCCTCATTTCCTGCCAGCCATTAAATCC